CTTACTTTGTACTCAAAGATAACAGGACTGATGCAATATCTAGTAAGAGTTTCTCCCCCTTTTCACCCATACTGCCACTATTCCATTCCAGCATAGCCAGTGCTCCATGACAAAGGAAGAGGAGGACTGAGTCGGGGAATTTTCCACTACAGAGGACCCCACAGTTGCCCACAAACCATGCTGGTATCTCTGTATCCTTCACTGATCCCATAAGCAAGGCACTGACCTGTAAAAACAACACACAAAATATATTACAGTACTTTAGCACAGGAGAAAAGCTACACCGCATAACTGCAAATATTAGATGATCACAGAATCGCATGGAATCACAGAAAGGTTGAGGTTGGAAGGGACCTCAAGAGATCATTAGTCCAAACCCACTGCTCACGCAAGGACACCCAGAGCATGTGGCACACAGTCCCATCCAGTCAGGTTCTGAGGATGCCCAAATCACTCTACCCTCACCCTACTCCTGCTCAGTAGATATTCAGGGGAATACATGGCAAGGTCACTTACAGTTAGACTGTGTGTGCCTTCTACATATCAAAATACTACTCAAGACAAATGTTATGAATACTTAAAACAATTCAAACATAATTAAAACAAACAAACAAAAAAAAAAATCAAACAGCAGTACTTTGGAGTGGGAATACATGCGTTGTTTCCTTTCTGAGATAAACTACTGGAATTCCATAAACTGATGGAATGAGTTAGTGGGCTACTTGCCCCCATTTACCCTCAAGGCTACCCCCACTGTCTACCCTTGGGCTTACTTGTCCTTTTTTCCCATCGTGCCTAGCTCCACTGTTTTTCCGTGGGGCCCAAATCTGAACAAATTTCTCGTAACTTTGTTTTCTTACATAATTCAAAAATGTTGTCTTGCTATTTCAGTAGAAAGAGAAAAAAAGAGGTTATACAAAAGCTTTACACAGAAGCTGGTGGTCCTCCTATGTGTATTAAACCCTCTAAATGACACTGGGAGATGTGACAATGTCACATCTCTTCAAGACCCCTTTACACCTAGTAAGGGTACACACTTCAGAAAAGCCTGCTCTGCACACAGTCCTTTTCACTTGTATGAACCATATATAGTTGTATAGAGCAGTTAAGTCACTAGCTCAGACATGAACAACTGAAGATGTGAGATGCTATTAACCACATCCTAAGTGCCCATAAAAGGGCTGACAGGACACAGCTCCCTCCTCTCAACATTAGAAGTGAAACAGGAGGTGCCCATGACAGGGGTTACGATCAAAACACCTTGTGGGGAATTCTGGAGCTGCAGAGTCCTCTTACCCGATTCCTTTGTTACTGACCTCACTTTGGTATTTACTAAAGACTGAGGAGGAAGGGATAGGGATTGAAGTACGTGGAGGCTGCTTAATAACACACAAAGAACACACAAAGTAAAGCTGCCAGAGACTCTGAAGTATTAACAGCTTAATAATAACTCATGACTTCAAAATATTTCACAACCTTAAGAGAAAAAAATACACTTACCAAGGAAGGTAACTGTTCAGGTGTCTCATACATAGCTTTAGTGAAGAGAATGAAGGCCAGCCCTGAAGTTGTCTGAACAGTCTGCAGCAGAGTTTCTATTTAGTAGACAATGGAAAGACAATTTCCATTGAAGTGTATGTAGGAAGCTTTGTGTGCTAGAAACTATACTTAAACTTATAAAGACAGTGTTCAATTTTCATAGACTACTTGTGTTTACATAGCCACATATCTCTATAGTAGGGATTCACAAACATGATCAAATTTCTACCCTAGCAAAACAGGAAACTATTACCATCTTTTAACAGATAGAAAAGAGTGAACTGCACAGTCAGGAAAGGAGGACAGTGGCAGAGCTTATTCATCCTTATATTAAATCCTACTATACAACAGTAGCACCTACATAGGAAATAACATCAATGATTAGTTCTGCTGACATAATTCATACATACAAACTTTTCATAAACATACACATTTGGCAAGTCTCAAGAGCTTTCTGATAGCTTTTAAAGTATTAGGAATAGAATTTCTTTATCTTGTAACAATAAACTACACTGAAATTACGCACTACAGATCATGGCTTACCAAGACCCACTCCTACTCCCATCAACTTAAGAAGTTCAAATTCCATTTAAGATAAAGAAAGATAAAAGAAGTTTTTCCACACACAAACTGTATTTATTAGAAAAACAGTAAAAGTGACTGAACAAACACATTTTCACTGTTTTTGAGTATTACTAATCTTACCATCCATTAGGAAGTTTGTGGAGCTTTTCAGCAAGCTACACATACTTTGCCAAATAAGAGAGTCAGGATTTTTCCAAAGATTTCCTTGAATATTCTCCTGTAGTTTCTGTACAAGCATCATTGAAACTTTAATGGCCGCCAATAAGTCGTGCATCAGCTGGGTCTGAACAATACGATTTCCACTGTTCTTTCTGGAAAGAAAATATACATACACACAAGAAAAGTAAATGGAATCTATCCTCCTTATAATTCACAGAAAACCATATTTTGCCAACTTCAGATAAAACTAACAGTAAAAACTAATTTATGGCTTGAATGGACCAGATGTGTAACTAGAGGAAAAACAAGAAGCAGACTCAAGGGTCAAGTGTTTTAAAATGAAGTTAAAATTAGTGAGAAATTCCACTACAGTTTCTGGAACTCCCCATGACAACCTCTTCACTCATTTCACCCCACCCAAGCAAAGAAGAACTCTTGCAGAAACTGACAACCGGTGACTGAACAAAGTGCCAGTCCTTCCTCACTTTCTCAAAGACTTTCTTCAAGTGCAAACCAAAGTGCTATCAAAGTGAAATTCCGTATTAAAAATTTCTTGCAAGAAAGTAATGGAAACAGGTAAAACACAGCTTACAGTGAATTCAACTTGCCTGTTTTCTTCCTGAATGTCAAGCAGAGACTTCTGCAGAAACTGAAGAACTAGTGAAAATAATTACAGCACAAATTTATTTAAAAGAGAAATAGAACCGCAATATTCCAACAAAGCAATCATACACAATGACAAGTTATCCATACAGTGATGTTTCTTTCACTCCATTAAAAAAATAAACTAAAATTTCAGTATAGACTCAGAGGAGCAATTCTAAATTAAAAGAGCCTTACAAGGACCAATGAACAAGTCCACAGAATCTGTGATCTTTATCTACATTCTGAGGGTACAAAATTTCAAGGTAATGACCCCTAACTTGCAGACAGATTCAGTGTCTCTGAATCAGCAAACTCAACATTAAACTGCTTTACTGGCAGACCAGACTCCTACAAACGTATTGCCAACTAAAATCCGTATCGCAGCACACCCTGGCTTGCTCTGGTCACGAGTGTTAAGAGTTCAGTGCTACCACATTCAACTCCAGTATGGGACATACAGCAGAGAATACACAAACTAGCAGCAACTCCAATAGCCCTCTAAGAACTCGGACTTTTTCAGATTTGTACTTTTGGCTGCTCAGTGGCAGCAACTCCAATAGCCCTTTAAGAATCACTCACTCGGACTTCTTCAGATTTGTACTTTTGGCTGCTCAGTAAAGCAAATTTCAGCTCTGAATATTAAAAACCCATGAGAAAAAAAAATCATAGAAATCATGGAAAAATCAATGATAAAAAAAAAAAAAAGGTGGAACAGAATTGAACACTCACAACTCAAAATGGCCTTCAAATACTGTTTACAATGCTAAATATCTAACAGCATAAGTTATTAGAAATGACACAAGAATAAATCAGATCTAGTAGATTTTAGTATTTTATGACCACCTCACACACTTCTACTTCCTACCCAAAATAATATAACTCCAAATTTATTTTATGATAAACAAGACTTTACCTTCTTTAAATAGGTTCTTAATGCTTGCTTTACCTGGAAGAGAAAAAAAAAATTACATTTTTACTAGTGCATAGTTGTCAAAGAACAAAACGTGGAAAACTTTGTCATCATTACTATTAGATACTGTACCAAGATGCCAAACAAACTGAGCTAGTTAAAACAAAAGACGATATCCCACATCATCATACCTAGGTTGAAGTCTTCCATACAGGAAGCAAGGTTATCCAATACTTTTCTATATAAATATATGTCTGTGGTTTTCAGTTCTTCTCTAAGGCAGCGCACAAAACTTTGTACAGCTTCAGTCATAAACTGTTCAGGAAGACAATTCAGTGAACTAAAACAGCAAAACAGAGCATAATCAGTTACATCAAACTAAAGGTTAAATATACATTTCAATATACATTTCAGACAGATGGTGCTGCCTGCATTCAGAAAGTAGCACTCTCCTTGTGGTTTATCCAAATACAAAGCTTGTGGTTTGTCCAAATACAAAGACCCACTACGCCTGTCAAAATATAGGATTGAGGCTGTAGAATCAAAACATAAAATAAAAACAAATCAAGAGCAAAACTAAAATCAAATCTTTGCAAACGCTGACACCACGTTTACTAGCATGCCCCTTTGGTTTCACAATCAGAAATTAAATCTGTACTCTTCAAAGGATACAGGAGGCTGCAAAATATCCAGATATCTTTTATTCTGTCCCTTCTGGAGCACTTAAAGAACACAGAACCACTTAGAAATCTCCCTTGTTATTATGTTCTACATTCCTTCTCATCCCAAAATACATATTTTTTTTAAGCATACTATTAGTTCAGGAAAATGAAATGCTCTACTATCAGAAAATTTATTATAATCGAAAATTTAATTGCAAGAGAAATAAGGACAAGAAATCAGAGTTACGCCTTGCTTTCTCCGAACTGCCTTCTCTTCACATTACAAAAAGTTTCAACTTTGACAAACTAAATATTTTAAATTTCTATTTCAATATTATATATTAAAACTCACAAGGGATAATTAAACTGTTTTGTTTTTCAAGTAATAAAAGAGATTAAAATAACTCTTCATTTCCAAGGAAGTACTTAAGAGTTTTAATACAGCAGGAAAGAAAACATACCTACATATCAATAACACTGAATTCCATTAAACTACAGCAATTTGAAGTGAGCAATAAATCAGTGATGCCTGTTCCAGTTTCATCTAATAAGTACAGCATTAAAAAAAAATTCTTACTATCTTATTACCTTTGTAGAACTTTTTTCAAGGGATTCTTTACACTCAGTGTAAAATATATCTCTCCCAAAATATCCAAACAAGCTTTAACCATGGGATCAGATGCAGAGTTCTGATCCATCTTCTTCATCAAAGGAATAATCTATAATCAACAGAACACAGTATCAACAAAAACTGCACATACCCTCATCAGTAACGGAAGCAGAATTCCTGCTAATACAACTCTACCGGGCAAATCTGTCCCCTGCTTTTGATAGCCTCCTTAGTTTCAGATGAAATCTCTGCCAGCAAAACTAAGCACACGAAAAACTGGAAACAGCAGTTGCTTTCCAGAGAGGCTCCACACATTTATTCTAAATAATTGCATCCTTACTATAATTTAAGTACTTGAACCACATTTCCACTTTATGTATCTGTCACAATATCAATTGCTTTTTCTGGGGTTCCAGCGATATTTAAAACTGTATGTCCTGTTACCAGTGTGCATGATGTATTCTTTATTCCAAGAGATCACACTAATTGACACTGGTGCAATCTTACCTGTTTAATGCACTGAATCTGCTGGATGCCACTGCTCAGCTGGGCACAGTGCAGAAGCAGGGATGCCAGATTTTGCTCCTCAGACACTCTAAACACTAATTGGGGGAAAAAAGAAAAAAACTCACTTTAGAATGCAATTAACAAGCAGTATAAATTTACAATGAGAAACCTCTGCTTAATTCTTATTTTTCCCCTACTGCAGTAAACCTACTCGTACCACTAACTTAAGTCTTACTAAAAACATCTTGTGTTTATAAGACTGTATATACACACCAGATGCAACCTAACCAATCTCTTCACTGAAGAAAAAGTTTTCATAGGAATTAAGAAAATACAGTAATATGCAACATAACAGTGGGCCTCTTCGAATACCAGGAACTATTTAAAGAGATATTGAGATTACACAGAAACATTCTTGAAAACATGCAACTTCATGAATATCTAACCTGAAGCTAGCTTTGTTTACGTGGTTCATCTACCACAAAGAAAAAAGTATTATCTATATCAAGAGACATTGCAATTCAAACAAACCAAATTATCTATTATTAAACAGTAACTAAATACAAAACAGAGTTATAGTCAACTACTAGACTTCACAGGAGTCACCAAATCACACACTTCACAACTCTTGCTAAACTAACTGAATTCATAAAGAAACGCAGCCTGTTCCAGGACTTTTTGCTATCTGCCCAGTAAAGATAGTTCAAAAAAGCGAGCCTGTTTTTGCCCACTGTCAAAAACATTAGACTAAATAACCTCAGATCTGACTACAAAGGGGCAAATAATTTGATCTCATTCTGTAAGTCTGGAACTCACAGCAAGATTACCACTCAGATATTTTCCTACTAGTTCTGGATGTGGAAAGTGGGTTTTTTTTATTGTTGTTGTTTTTGTTTTTTAAATAAGTATCATTCAAAGTTTATATCAGAAAACAAAAAGCGATGTGAAGCAAGAGCATTTGACCTATACCTTAAATGAGATTATCATAGAACTATAGAATCCTTAAGGTTGGAAGGGACCTCTAGAGGTCATCTAGTCCAACCCCCCTGCACACGCAGGGTCACCTAGAGCACGTGGCACAGGACTGCATCCAAGCGGGTTTTGAAGATCTCCACAGAAGGAGACTCCACAACCTCTCTGGGCAGCCTGTTCCAGTGCTCTGTCACTCTCACTGTTAAGAAATTTTTCTTTAAGTTCCTGTGGAACTTTTAGGGCTGCAGTTTGTGGCCATTACCTCTAGTTCTGTCGGTGGCCACCACTGAAAAGAGGCCAGCACCATCCTCCTCACTGCCTCCCTTGAGGTACTTATAGACACTGATCAGGTCCCCTCTCAGCCTTCTCTTCTCCAGGCTGAACAGGACCAGGTCTTTCAGCCTCTCCTCATAGCGCAGATGTTCCAGGCCCCTGATCATCCTCGTAGCCCTGCGCTGGACTCTCTCCAGCAGCTCCACATCCCTCTTGTACTGTGGAGCCCAGAACTGGACACAATACT